GGGCATCTTGATTCCTTCAGTTTTCACTATTTTTCCCCTGTGGATGGTAAGGGTGGTACATCTGTCCAGTCCAAACTCCATTGCAATATCTTGGCTATATATTCAGATAGTGTTGAGCAGTGATTCCATTTCAGATGGTGTTTTTCCATACGGCTTCAGATCATCCATGTAAAGGAGATAGGATAGCCTGGCAAATGTTGTTGATGTTTGATAGCCATGGCCTGACTTGTTCAGTATTGTTGACAGAGGAATCAATGCAATGACAAACAGCAGTGGTGACAGTAAATCTCCTTGAAAGATTCCTCTCTTGATGCTGACTTCTCCCAGTCTATCGCCATTGACCAGCAACTGTGTCTTCCATTGTGCCATTGATCTTTGTGCAAAGCTTCTGATGTTTCTACTGACTCCTGTTATTTCTAGGCACTTGATTATCCAATAATTAGCAGGGAGTCAAATGCTTCTTGTAATCAATCCAAGCTACATTCAAGTTAGTCTTCTTTCTTCTTGCAGTTTTTCAAAATCATCTTGCCAATTAGGAGCTGATCTTTTGTTCCTCTCCTGTTTGTGCGGTTTCCTTTCTGCTCAGATAGAAAGAGCTTGTTTTTAACTAGATGCTGTTGGACTGCATTAGCTACCATGCCAGTTAGCAATTTGAAAGTTGTTGACAAGGAGGTAACTAGCCTGTAGTAGCCTAGTGCTGCCCCTTTTGCTAGATCTTTCATTATCAGGTAGGTTTTGTGAGATGTTAACCAATCTTCAGTTTCACCTCCTTGCAGTATGTTGTTAAACTCCTTGGCATTGAGTGGGTACAGACCAGTTAGATGCCAAGCAGTTTAACAACATACCTCAGGGAGGTGAAATTGAAGATTAGTTAACATCTGACAAAACCTTTTATTATAATTATTATATTTTTATTTATACATATATACATATTTATATATATATGTCAACTCAAGGCAGTGAACATACCTAATATTCCTGTCTCCTATTTTCCTCACCACAACAACCCTGTGAAGTGGGTTGGGCTGAGAGAGAGAGCGACTGGCCCAAAGTCACCCAGCTGCCTAATGCCTAACGTAAGCCTAGAACTCACGGTCTCCTGGTTTCTAGGCCAGCACCTTTGCCACTGCACCAAACTGGCTCTCATGTTGGCTGAGGAATTCTGGGAGTTGAAGTTCACCTTAAAGTTGATAACACTGAACTAGAGCCACAATGGCTCATTGTTAGTCTAACAAAATACTACAGCAAATGCTGTGTTATGCTAAAGATGTGTAATGAAGACAGATTTCTTGAATAACTGCAGCTGCTTGTTTATACAAAAAGCATATAAAACTGCTAAGGTACGTTATTTCTACACACAAACACTTTGATTTGTGCAATCCCAAACAGTAACCATACTTTAAACAGACATGTTTTGTGCAAGGTCAGATAGTCACCATGTATAAATGAGCCATCATGGTAGTAGGCTGCACTTAAAAAAAACAAACAAACATGTATGTTGTAAACTTTCAAGAGTGTAGTAATCAAGAAGTTCACATATTGGTTAAAGCTGTAAAGAAGTAGTAGTACCTGATAGCCATGCTTCCTGGAAGCCATATATTTAGTGGTAGTGTGAAAGGTCCCACATATGTATAGATAAATGCATTATGTATTATATATTATGCATTATGTATTACCTGACATTTGTTTTGGACTACTTTGCACATCTAATTTAGCCTTTTTATCTTTTCCAATCCTTTTAATGCTCTTTATTCCTTCTATATATTTACATTTCTGAGAAGCCTTTTTGGCTTAAGCCAAGCTGATTTAAGAATCTGCATGTGATCTGAGAGTTGCATTATGACATCTTCCCCAACAGATTAACCAATTAATTAATTATGTATCTCTTAATAACTGCGCTCATCAGTACAGATAAATGTATGAATGCCTCTAGTAATAGGCAGATAGTTTCTGCCCCCCCCCCAACCAAAAAGGAAATGTATTCTGTATGGAGATACTGTATTGTAGAAGGCATATGTTATGACGTCTTCATTCATACTACTAATGCATCTCAAAAGAGGATGCATCAGTGTTCATCATTGTTAATTAATGATTCTGTAATTCTTGTTTCAGAACCTTCGGAAGCTCACAGAAAACTCTTTGTATCCATTCAAGGAACACAAGACTGATTGTGACTTACTTGCTACTATTTTACTCCAGGGCGTACTCTCTAAAATGGATACTCCCTTTAGAATGCCAAGATGCTCTTTATTTTATTGTAGCAAATTGCTTGAGCATTTTTTTCTTTACTTCGTTCTGTTGTTTTTGTTCCCCAATATCTAAATTTCAGTCAAAAGCTCCTGGTGCAGGAACCAGTTGTTGACTCATTTTATTATGTAATACATTATGTCAATTGATGACACTATTAAATAATTAGTCAACTATTTGTAAGGTTTGATGCAAGATCTTTATTGCAGAAGAAAGACATTTACCTGAAAAATGCAAGAGTGCAGGAAATCTCAGTATATTGGCAATTGTTAGCAGAATTATGTGGAACTCGATAGGATGTGCTGTACTTCTAAATTAGTATGCTTTGGGCTGGGTAGTGTAGAAATCACTGATGGAACAAAGAATCTGAACTGTAACTGTGGGCAAGGAGATTGAAAGCAATATAATTAAAGGGGGCATGTCTGAGCTTTAGAGCATCCCAGTATAGAAAATGCATTCTCAACAGAGTATCTTTACGTATAACAACCTGCATTAGTTCAGCTGTGAATTTCTTTGGGAATTAAATTGTTTAATGGATCCACCTTTTGAATATTCACTCAGAAATAGTTTTATCACTTTACAGAGACCATCCGGGCTATCTTTATTGTACAAATATCTTAATCAGGATGATTGCTCCACTGTAAAGTGGAGCTGTACTTGTCCATTTTTAACAAAGAATCTGATGCTTGTAGATTTTAAAGCAGAATTGGCTTTATGTGTTCCAATGAAGATGAAATTTTACCAACAAACTTTAATTAATTGTATAATTAGCTGTTACTGGAATTGAGGATATGTTCTATATCCAACAACTGCACAAAGAGAATTGGAGGGTGTCACCTAAGTTTTCTAACCATACTAAATGTTGAATTTCTATAAGCTGATAGAGGATAAAGAAACAATATAAGGAGCAAAGATGGTGAAAACAAGGTTCGTCAGAAGAGAGAGTGTTTTTCAAGGATCTCTGCAGGTGATGAGGCAAAATTCTAGGACCAGCTGATGAAGGGAAAAACCTCTCAACTACAGCAAAAGTCTTGGCCGGATTCCTTAAGAATGCAGGTGATGTGATTCCAGGCCTCACAGCAAAGTGCACATGCCCTTGCGCCTGACCTCCAAAGCAGAGATTGTTAATCCCAATTTATGATCGTTGTATGGGGGGTAGCGTGGTTTGTTGATTACCTCCAGCCCCATGCAGCGCAAAAGACAGCCACGAAAGTGAGAAAATGTGTCGAAAGTAAACTTGCCGTGGTATTTTCCAAATCCACTGAGTCCTGCAATATTAAAAAGAAGAAGAAGTTCAGATGAAATCCTCCAAAGCAGAGATTGTTAATCCCAATTTATGATCGTTGTATGGGGGGTAGCGTGGTTTGTTGATTACCTCCAGCCCCATGCAGCGCAAAAGACAGCCACGAAAGTGAGAAAATGTGTCGAAAGTAAACTTGCCGTGGTATTTTCCAAATCCACTGAGTCCTGCAATATTAAAAAGAAGAAGAAGTTCAGATGAAATCCATCTTTCAGCTGACAACACAACCTGTGCAGCCCTTGCTATTTATTCTTTTTCATCAGGCTGGACAATAGCTGCCCTTAAAAAGCACTCTCCTCATTGTGCTCACTATAAAAGGTTTTATATTCAGTGGACTCTGCAGAACTACTCTTAAAGAAGGGACTAAAAAGGAGAATCTAATAATGACAAGCAAAGCTTGGTTAGATAATAATTTACTGGCCTGCTATGTTTCATGATTATTGAACTACAACTGCCTTAATCTCCAGTAAAATGAGACTATTGCTTCTTTTGGTACAAATTAAATCTGTATATCTCTTCAGTTTAACCATGTTTTGTACTCAAAATGCAATAAACTTGATTTACACAGCACGTTAAGCTGGGTTTAGTGCAGTGCGTGACCAGGCCTATTGAACCAGAGCTGTTCATCCTGTGGAACACATTTTGGTCTTGTTAGCACCACTTACAAAATTAAAAATAGTGGGCCTCCTCCGCTTACTCCTGCTTCCCAGCGTAATGTACACCAGGAGATTTCCCGCCCTCTTATTTATTTATAAATGACCACCTAGCTTATAGCACAGTGGTGTATTTATTATTTGATTGCATTTGGTTAATCTCCAAATATGCTGGAAATAGTAAAAAAAAATGGACTCTTAATATCTTTGTCTTTAGTCTGATGAAAATAATCATCAAGAGGGAGAACTTTTCAGGTTGGAAGCGAAGGGTAAGGATGGAGGTAAGAAATGGAGATAGCCTAGGAAATAAAAGGCTAATCATACCAATGCCACCAAATGGTAGGTTAACCAATGTTACGTGTGTCAGGGTATCATTGCCGCAGAAGCCGCCACTGCTAACACAATCCAGTACACGGTTCACAATCTATAAAAAGAAAAAGAGTAGAAGAGTATTAGGAGTCCTGTCCTTAACCTTCCAAACATGAGTTGTATCAAGTCCCAGCTCTATAATAATAAGGGACATGATACTTGCTTGTCCTTAATTTTGCCACAAACAGAGGCTCCTGCCCCAAGGACAAGGGGTTTAGAGTGATTTTGGTGCACCAATGGGAATACTGATCTCCTAGAAGACCCACATTTGTGCCCTAGAATGTCTGCCTGGGAGCTCTTCTGATGCAATAGAAGGGGAAAGACCACTGTCGTACCAGAACAGCTTAGAGCAATTGCTGCCTCCTGAGCAGCGGGCTGGGGATGAGAGGGAGGCTATGTGTTAAAGACAGAACCTTAAAAATATTACTGTTAATGTACTTTCCTTTGCACTGTGGATGTGTGGATAAGCCAGTTATTTTTAACACAGGCTTATTGCTAAATAAACAAGGATAGGATTCGGCTTTCCTTCTATCACCCAAGCTATATTACCAGCAGGCCAAGAACTGCTGCCATGTTGGTTCATAACAGCTTACGACTAAGCACATTTTGAAAATAGTGCAAGTCTCCTTTCTTTTAGCCATCGTGGATAGGCTGATGGAAAATAATTCAGATTCTCCCAGATACAGTATGCTGTAACGTAAACAATATACCTTGCAATCACAGGAGA